CCCCAACTCCCCACCACACATCGTCAATCACTGATCCAACACAACCCCGAGGAAAGTGGGATGGGCACGACTTCCCAGGCCCCTCCAGGTAAGGTAGCTCCCGCCAACTAAGGGAAGTCCCCCAGGAAACAGCACAAGGTGAGCTATCAGCAGTCAACCCTTTGGAAGTGGGAGTGGGGAAATTCCCCCAGTAAATGGGACCTGGGTGGGGCACAAACAGCAATGGCTATAGTCCCATAGCAGAGAAGCGGATGGGGAAACAAAGGTCACGGGTGTCTCTGACTGGTTCAAACAAATTTGGGTCTGTCTCTCAAAGTCCTAAATGCTCTAAACCACGAAGCTACATACCCACAGAGTTTATAGTTTTTACCTATTCTACCTCATTGAATTCCCCCAAAAACAGAGTTAGGTAAATATCACCCATTTATACTGAGAAGGAATCAAGATTCTGAGAATTTGAACCTAAGGCCACATGGCCAATGACTGCTGGGGTTAGGATTCACACCCAGGTCTCCTGGCTCTAACTTTTTCTGTGAGGTTACCTAACTGGGAAATTTTGGAGGAATGGAGTAAAGATCTTGATATCTGGGTGAACTGAAGAACCAAGGCCATTCCTACACCAAAATCCTTCCTCTAGCAGCTCTGCCGGAGCATCTGTAGCTTTGATCTTTGCTCGCTGTTTGCCATGCGCAGAGTCCCGTCGTGCTACTCTGGTCTTTCGGTCAAGACCAGCCTTCCTCAGGGAATGCACATCGTCCAGGAGGACACAAGCTCTATCACGGACCCGTTATGTCAAGTCCCAGCCACTCTTTTGCTTGAAGACAGTGTGGTATTAACTCTCCCTGTGCACTCTCACATTCCGGATGCCCATCATTTTCCCTACAAGTTGCCTGGTGTACAGATATTCTTGCTTTATTTCCTCTCCCTGCCCATTATTGCATGGACTTAACAATAGCAGGGCAAGCAGGTGAAATTCCCATTGCAAAAATCCATGGCTCTGGCATCATTGGCAAGCCCTTCATCTCTGAGTTCGAGCTTTCTCCTCTGTAAAATCGGCACTGTGCATTTCCTACCTCTCAGAATTTGTATGTGGATTAGAAGAATATATTTAAAACACCAAGCACATGGTGGGTGTGCCACAAATGGTAGTTATTTCATGCGACAGATACCTGTACACAGGAGACAGAGACACACGGATGCTTGCTGTGTTTCCACCACCTGGAAAGCAGATGTCAAGGCCACAAGAATCTGACATGCTTCGTGAGTTCTGAGTGTTTGTTTAACCCACTCGCATGCCTGGTAGACAAGGCTCTTGCCTGCATCTCCCCTTTCTTCTCCCCCTCCCCACCTACTGTCTTGATTCCTCAAACTGCCCTTGTCACCAATGCCCTGTTTGGTTACAGCTTTTGCCTTCCGTGCTTCAGCTACATGGCAATTCTTCCAAGAAGCTTTCCTATGGAAAGAGCAGGGACCTTGTGGCTCAGAGTTAAGAGGTCTGGGTCACAGCTCTACCATGCAACCTTCAGGAAGATTCTCATCTCTCACTGCTGGGTAATGGCACTATGAACCACATCTCTGTCATCTCTCACCTCCTGTTTATGATCCTCAATACCAATATTCACTATCTTTGGAGAGCAATCTCCCTAGAGCGATTCATGTCCCTCTCCTTCTTCTAAATCCGTAAGGATGGGTCCATTTCTTTACCTTCTTCCTTCTCTCTATAATGGGTCTAGTTGATTCCTCCCAGGGATGTTCCTGAATTAAATGAGAAAGTACTGAACACACTGTGCTGGCCAGACCACATGCAACTAAACGTCAGTTACCCTGCCTTCCTAGACCCTCTGTGTTTTTTGTTTAGACCCAGAACAGTTAATGATTGTTAGTTTCTGATGCATTTTTTTCTTTTACTCCTAAGGGCTTAACACTATGCTAAGTACATTGTAGGGGCTCAAAAGGAAAATACAATTGTAATGAATAGTGGAACTCCTGGCGGTGACCTCTGCAAGTCTCTGGCCTCTTCTGCCCCACATCTCCCTTCAGCTGAGCAATGGTCTCCCAGGCCAGAGAGGGCACAGCACTCTCTGCTAAAGAGGCACATCTGCATTTTTGCTAAACTGGCAAATTTTCAGGCTGTAAGCAAATAACCAAAGGGTGTGAACAGGATTTCAGCTATCTGATTCCCGGAGGAAGGAAGGGGCAGGGGCCATCCTGACCCAGAACCATCAAGTGCAGGGACATTTTCCAAGTACGGTAGCTGAGGGTCTCTGGAAGGTGGCTGCCTGGAGGCCCCCAGGCTACCCCAGGGCCTCAGCTGGGAGGGGCAGGGAACTCACTCCCGCCAGGTGGCATCTCTCTGTTAAAAGAATTGGTATCAGGAGTCTTTAGAGCGGGATCAGGTGCCTGTCTAGCTCCTGAGTCACTGCACCTGGGCCTCTGTGTGGACAAGCCCAGGTCTACCACAGGGCCTCCTCTGATCTGACAGTGCTCAGGTGAGATACGAGTGCCTGGACTAGGCCTGGAGGTCTGGATGGCTGCTTTGTCCTTGTACCTTCCAAATGGCTGCCTGGGGTTAGACTGTAAATGAATAGACACAGCCACTAGGACCTCTGTCCCCTTGCCCATGGTCGATCTCCTTGAATACATCCTTACTTAGGCCCTGCACCCCCAGAGCAACAGTTATTGAATTTATATTTACTGGTCATTTTGTATGAAAGCACCCCTCTTACCACCAACTGCCCTGGCCCGAGAACTAGATCATGTCCCCCAGTGCTGGACCCTTCCTTCCTCCATTCCTACCCACCACCCTCTTGCCACAGCAGTGCATGCTTCAAGCCTACCATCTGCATTGGGGGCAGGCATTCAGTAGGATTTTGCAAAGAACATCCTCTTGGGAGTCAGAAAACTCACTCTGGAGTCTCCCTCAAGTCACCCAATTCCTGAGCAACCACAGAAACTCGATTTAACCTCCCTGGGCCTCTTGTTTCTTCAGCTCTTAAATGGGTGCGATAAAAGCTAAGATCTGTCATGTGCTGCACAGGGAAGCACCCTGCAGACTGCCCAGTCCCTCACCAGTGGGAAGCCTGCTGTAACTATGTCGGTCATGCCCTCTGGGGAGTTGGTTGTTTAGTGACAACCTCAGTGGGTTCTGAAGAGGAAGCCATGCTCTCTGCTGTATTTGCAAGGCCTGGGGTCTGGCAGGGGCGATGCTAAAGTCAGGTCAGGCTGCAGCTGCTGAAACGTAACCAAGGTCACTCATTTTCCTGAGAGTGCTGCTGGGAAAGATACAGGCTCCTTCTGGCCCCTTCCTCTGGCTCGGGCATACCTCTTGGGATGGAAGACATTTGGCACCAAGGAAGAAATCTGTCAGGTCAAGTCAGGAAGGACTGTCTCTGAGTCTGAGCCATTCCTTTTGAGTTCAGAAAGAGCTGGGTAGAGAAAAACAAAAACAAAAAAGCCAAAAACCGATGCTTTGCCTCTGAACAGACTCCAAGCCTGGACTTAGAGTCGGTGTGACCTTGGGCAGGCTCCTTATCTTACTTGTGCCTGTATCTTCCTCTTTGAACTTGCCTTAATAATTTCTACTTCCTGGAGTTTCTTGGAGAAATTACAGTGAATTCTTATACATAATGTCCATTTCACTCCTCTGCCTGAAGCAGAAAGTATGTTAGGGTATATTTTGCATACTTGTATTATTTTCTTTTACTATAATGAATATGTTTTTGCTTTCATAATAAGAAAAAAAATCCGATTTGTTTACTTCCATGAGAGGCTGACTGAATGAAAACTGCAGGACAAAATGAGGCTCAGAGAGCTTAGGGGACCACCTCCCACACCCCAGCTGTTCTGGGGCAGGTGGGAAACGGAAATCACCGCTTACCTCTGGGCTCACGTGCAAGGGTTCCTTATGCACTAGGAAGAGGGTTCCTTTTCACCTTTCAACTTCAGCCCTCGGATTTTAAATTTTCTTTCCCCTCCAGGACTCCAAATTCAGAGTTGATTTTTACACATACATATATAAGGCACATGGAATATATGTCTCAGAGCATATGGAATATATGTCTATGAATGCATATTGATCTTCTGGGAAATAGATAAACAGACTCCCAAACAAAGCAAAAGTTCTACCCCTTTAGTCAGCTTTTCATATAATCTACAAGAGGGGACATGATTTCTCTTTTCAATTCTAAGAGGCTTTTCAGAGACCCAGTGCCGCCTGGAGCAAAGTACACAGGTGAGCACTCTCTGAGGCAAAGGTGTGTCCCGGGGAACCTCTTGCCGGTCAGGAACTACTTCCGCAGTCTTAATACTGCTTTGCCCACTTTGAGTTTACATGGGGTTAAAGTCCACATGCAGGTACCTGCTGGGGAAAGGGCGAAACTGCCACCTCCAAGAGCAACAGGGGATCTTTGTGAAGATACAGCTCACAATGCAGTGAAAAATAAATCTGATGGCCACAGCGAGATTAAAAATTAAAAAGAGCAATGAAGAAAGGAGATGGGGAAAGAGAAGCACAATAGCCATGAAAAACATTTTTGTTAAGTAACAAAGGAATATAGATTTGCCGCCTGGAGCAAAGTACACAGGTGAGCACTCTCTGAGGCAAAGGTGTGTCCCGGGGAACCTCTTGCCGGTCAGGAACTACTTCCGCAGTCTTAATACTGCTTTGCCCACTTTGAGTTTACATGGGGTTAAAGTCCACATGCAGGTACCTGCTGGGGAAAGGGCGAAACTGCCACCTCCAAGAGCAACAGGGGATCTTTGTGAAGATACAGCTCACAATGCAGTGAAAAATAAATCTGATGGCCACAGCGAGATTAAAAATTAAAAAGAGCAATGAAGAAAGGAGATGGGGAAAGAGAAGCACAATAGCCATGAAAAACATTTTTGTTAAGTAACAAAGGAATATAGATTCTGCAATGCATGCAAGGCAGACGGCTACTTTGAGTCAGGGGCAAGTTAATTATTTTTAAAAAAAGTGTCTCCAGACTTTTTTTTTTTTTTGCAGTGAAATATTTTAGTTCCTTCATATAGAGACATATTACACAATGTTAACAACCATGAAAAACAATACAAAATGCCCTCAATATAACAAGTAGAAAAATATAACTAGTATATATGGCAATTGTGAATCTAATACTGTACAGAGTAGTTTATGGATTTTACAAATAAATTATAGTTTAAATGCCCTTTTAAAATTCTTTTCTTACCCCTAGATGTACATCAGAACTTACAATAGGAAGGGTCCCGAGCCTAGCTTATGGCCAGTCAGTGCCAGTCAAATGTTCTGCCGACAAGCTCGAAGAATTTTTTATTTGGCTCGTGAAAGTATTCGTGCAGTTTACTGAGGAGTTTGGGGTCGACTTGGGGGTGCGCCCGGCCTTTGGACTCGTGTAAGCAGCGGTCCCGGCCACCATCCCGCAGGCAGTAAAAGCCCTTGGTTTTGTTAAAGTAAAAGTTGGAGGCGTTGATCTGCGGCGACAGCTTCAGGAACCTCTCGACCTTCTGGATCTCGGGGAAGGGGTCCCTGATGAGACGGTCTCCGTCCACTATGTGGACGTGGCGCAGCGGGAAGAAGCGTAGCCAGTTCTGCATGTGCACGTGGTAGAGGCTGCGGTTGAGCGCCTTGTAGTCCACGTTGAGCCGGCCGTCGCGCACCAGGAACTCCTCGATGGACGGGTAGGGCTTGCGCTTCTGCACGTGGTTGTAGAACACTTGGGTGTAGTCGGAGAGCACGCGCTCCGACGGGTCCCGCAGGATGAGCAGCAGCTGGATGGCCGGGTTCATGTCGCGGACGCGCGCAGGCACTTTGGGCGACGTGAAGTACGCGGGGGTCTTCTCCACGGTGAGCTGGTGCGGGTAGGAGAAGGGCATCTGGCTGAGGTACCAGCCCAGGCCCTGGCTGTAGTGCTCCTCCCAGTCGAAGAAGTGCACCTCGTTCTCGGCGGCCGCCACGTCGGGGTGCAGGCTGAGCATCTCCAGCAGCGCGCGCGTGCCGCCCTTGCGCACCCCTATGATGATGGTCTGGGGCAGCTGCTGCGCCGAGCCGTTGGCGGCCACGCCTGCTGGGACCTCGTCCTGCAGCGCCTGCGGGCCCGGCTCGGCCGCGGCTCCGGCTCCGGCTTCGGGCGCTGCGGGGCGGGAAGGCACCGGCTGGAGCTGGAGAACCAGCAGCACCGCGCCCAGGAGCAGCGCGGCCACGCCGGACACCATGGTGGCTTCACTGGGCTGCACGCCGCTGGCTCATGAAGCGCTGCTGCAGGCAAGGCCTCCTGATCAGTGACACATGGAGGTCATAGGTCGCCAATTACTAGAAGACAAAGGGGGAAAACATTAACCCCAGGAAAATACAGGGCTTAAAAGAGTTGACAGCTCTGGTCTTGGGGACCGCGGTCCCCTCCCTGAGGCTCTCTCAGTGTCTTTATCCTATAAAGGAGGAGGTGGCAAACATTTTCTGTACCGACCGGAGAGTAAAATGTTCAGGGCTCTGTGGAGCACTTTCTGTGGCAATGCCGAGTATGCTGTTTTACCCTGAAGCAGCCATAGCCAATACAAAGGAATGGGTGTGGTGGTGTTCCCCATAAAACTTTATTTATGGACACTGGAATCTGAACTCCATGCAATTATCATGCATTACTAAATATTTTTTCTTTTAATTTTTTTTTTCAATAGTTCATTTGTTTAGCTTTCTGCACAAAAACAGAAGCAGATATGGCCTGCAGCCATCGCTTGCTAACCTCTGCTACAAAGGGAAGGGTTAGGAAGGTCTTCTGGACCTCAGGAAACATCAGTGAAATATCCTTCACCTGCCAGCCCTGAGAGAGAGGCAGGTGACACAGAAGCAGACATTGTTCCAGCCCAGTATCAGCCACCAGCGGCTCCTGATCTCACAGGGAAGATGAATCTGTATCGAAGACTGAATGGTTGGTACCACTTCTTGACTCCTCCCTGCATCCAGTGGCCCTTGCTATGGCCTCAGTGTGGGGTGACTGTGATTCCCAGCCACTTGATTTGGGTTTGGCCAATGGCATGTGGGAAGAAATGACAATGTACCAGTGCCCAGCCTAGGCCTTAAGAGGCTTTGTGTCTTTCTACTTGCCCTCTTGTACTTTCTCCATCACCACGAAAAGATGTGCCCTAGCCAGTTGCTGGTCCCAGGAGGAGGACGGACCCACCATACAGCACAGCCATCCCAACTCGTGAGGGAGAATGCATCACTGTGGTGTTAAGCCATTGAGTTTTGGGTGGTTTGCATTGCTGCACAAATTGGGCAAAGGTTAATTGATAAAACCCGAGTACAGGCATCAGCGCAGTATGTGTGAATGCTCAGAGTTCAGGCAGGCTACTACCAGGGCATATGTTCATTCATTTCAACAGCTGGGGATGGCTTCCTAGTAGAGAAACTGTTTGAAGTGGGTGGGCCTAGAGGGTTAATCAGGTGAGCTTACTAAAAGGAGCAAAACACCTTCACATGTGCAAAGCTGTGCTATTTCTAAGTGGTCTCAGCACCTGCTCAGTCAATGGTCACTGTCCCCCTACAGTGTAAGGGAAGAAGGCAGGACAGGGTGACGTCCTGCCTAAGGACACAAAATTTAGTCCATTTCAAAATGTATGACCTAAATTAAAAACTAAATGCAGAGTTCTCTTTCCTCAAACTGCCTCTTTTACACTTCTTGTTAGTCATCTGAGGTTTATCACATTCAGGTGTTCAGTCCCTCCAGGATGCAGGCCTTGCTGGGTGAGAGGGCATGAGGTTCCCAAAGACAGCCAATGCATGGCTCATGTTTCTGAGAGCTAATAAGCAACATCCGTGTTGGTCATTTTCCAGAAAAAGGGGACTGGAAGCTGTCTTTTAGTAATCTCAGTCTAAACACAGCCAGGGATGTGTAGAAATGCAACTGTCTCGGGGACTGGGGGATTTACAGCATCAGTAAAAATGTTCTCCAGCAAGAGGGCCCATCATCTTCCTTATGCCAGGTTTAAAATTCAGTTATTTAGTTTAAAACTTTGCCTAGAATGTATAAACAAAGAACAACATCCAGGGCTTCCACTTTTATGATCAAACCAATTGATTTACCTCCCTCCCTCAGGTATTGACTTTATTAGCCACTTTGAAAAATGTGTCTTAAAGAACAAGCAATTAAAAAACTGGAAAGCCTTAGAAAATCACAGAACACTGGACAAGGGACTTGCAAAATCAGCTGATGAAACTATTTAGGAAAAAATAAAAGGAAAAGAATTTTTTAAGGAGAGAGGGCCAAGCAAGATGAGCTCCAACATTGGTTCTACTGATGGAATGAGCACAGTTTAATGGGTCTTTTCCTTACTCAGCTGGATAAGCTGGATGTCTCCATCAAATTTCATTTCCTTAATAGCTACCCTCGAGAGTCGACCAGCTGGCCCAGTTGTGCCTGCCTCTTACATATTTGGTGTGTGCATGCATGTATGTGTTTGTGTGTGTACATGTGTACGTGCACATGTGCAGAGGATGGGGTGGGTGAAGTGAAGGAGAGAGTAAATGCTCCACTGTACTCCTTGTTGTAAGAATTGCTACCCTGTCTTATGGGTCTGTATTCAGACTGAGGAATCCATGATGGATCCCAGTCCTTCAACACCTAAGGGAAAGTCAGAGGCCACATCTGAAATTCATATTGTCTGATTATTCATGCTTTTTCTACTTCATTATAAGGCACTTGTTCAAGTACAGTACACATCTGAGATTTTTATCTTAAAGGGGAATTACCAACAGACAGAAGAATAGAAGCTAAGGATAGTTTTCCTTTGCAAAAATCAAACAAAAAACTGGGCGGGTAGTAGTTTAAAAGGTCATTTCTGTTTTATTATGTTCTAAACATGTATTTATATATGTCTCAATCTTACTATATTCCACAAATCTTTGAGGTATATGGAAATAAAGCTGAAGTTTCATATACACACATGCAATATGCAGATATACATATATATGTTATATATTATATATAGAGAGAGCATATATGATATTTATGGAGAGAAAAAGACAGAAGAGTTGAAATAGATGTGCTATATGTAAAGATAATACATGTATATAGCACATACATGTACAGAACTTCAGCTAAATTATATATAAGCACAGACATATGGACATCTAAGTGAACATATATCACACACAAGGTGGCCATTGGGAGCCGGCTTCCTCCGTTGCAGTTTGATCATTTGAACTCACTGGCATAGCCAGAATTTCTGGGCCTTTTAGTAACACCCTCAGAGAAGAAAAGATTCCCAAGCTCAAGTGAACCTGCAAGACAGGAGATCTGAGTCACACTGATCTTGACAATGGAATTATGAATATCAGAGCATAAGAGAGTCACAGAGTCCCTGCCTCTCATTTCATAGGTGAGGGCGCCCTGAGATGACATGCCCAGGTCACACAGAAAGGCCAGGACGAGAACACCCGGTCCCTGAATTCCAGTCTGTTCTCTGCTCTGCTTGCTGTTTCCCTAGTGTGTGGTCTTAACAGAAAATAGTGGCAATGGTTTCAGAATCCTGAAGACAAAAAGGCCTTAAAACCTCTACCCAGCAAGGACAAACCCTGGCCACCTACTCCAGAATCAGTGGAGATACAGGACAGGATCAAACTTATTTGTTTGTTCTACGATGCAGAAGAGACCAAAGGAAGTTCATGGGCTATGGAGGCAGGAATCCTGAGAAGTCAAAACTATTCACCAAAGTGATTTACCCTCTCAGGTGTAAAAGGGTAATAATACCACCCACCTCAAATGGTCCTTGGAGACAGAAATGAGGTCATGTATCAGAGGGCGCTGTGTGATAGAAATACGCTGTGAGCCACACACACACTTTTGTTCCTTTCCAAACAAATATTTGGATCTACTGAATTCAAGCTACATAGCTAACATTTATCTAAGTTATGAGATGAATTCCCATTTTTATGAAGACCTTCCCCCTTGGTAATGCCAAACACAGCCCCTTACCCACAGCTGTTAGGTGGCAGAGGAGCTGCGTAAATAAAAGCATAACACAGAGTTTTACTACATTCTTAGTAAAATTCAGGTCTTCAGAGGCAATCAACAGGTTCTCATGAAGATAACATAACCCCTCCCAAAGGTGATAGTAACCACTGTCTGGTTATATCTCTGACACTCAGTCATATCTTGCCCTATAACAAATCATGTGTTATTATTATTTTATTATAAATGTTCAAAGGACCCACATGTGCACTTTTAAATTTTCCAGGAGCCATATTGAGAAAAGAAATATCTTATGTAACCCAATATATCCCAAATGTTATCTCCAACACACAATCCATAATTAGGGAATGAGTGTTTGAAATCCAGTGTGTATCCATTTACTGTCACAACACATCTCAAGGCCACGTGTGGCTGGTGGCAACTGGAGTGGACCGCACAGAGAAGAAGGGCACAGGGCAGAGCTGAATCCTTAAGCTGAAGTCTCTGAAAGTGTAAGAAGTGCTCTCTTAATAGTAAGATCTCTCATTCCAGTCACAAAAAGCAGCTTTCCAAACAAGAGAAGGAATAGGAAAGCACGTTTGAACTTGTAGGCTGCACAAGATACACTGACCGTTCTCCCTGCAGAAGTAAACGATGTGGAACACATGGAACCTTCTAGAAGCATGGATCCTTGAGCTGCCAGGGGCCCGGACAAAATGCTCAACGGCACTGGAGCCCCAGCCATATGCCTGCCACAAGCAATGGTGGCAGGGCCCTTGGGAGACCCTTGTTAATGAGCAGATGACGCTAGGCTGGCCACTTTGTCCAGGCCCCTGACGTGCTCACTCCAAGTCCTCAAGGGAACTGCTGTCATTACCTGAAAGCTAGGAGCAGAGAATTAACTGGTTTACCCAGAAAGTTAAAGGCCAAACTGGGATTCAAATTCCATGTGAGCCGGCAAAGCCAGGGAGGGAGCTTGCTGCTCCTTCTGCCCCTTGGCAAGACCTGGAGTCGGGGGGCAAGTAGTTCCTGGGCCCCGGGGTGACTCTCTGTTCCTGTTGCTCAGTTACACCTAGCACTGATTTTTTGATGAGGGCTGGGCTTTCCTGTAAGGCCCCAGACTTGCTAGGATGAGCGAAATGAACCCTCTCCTTCCTTTTGCAGATGAGCGTAAAGGTCCCAGAGAGATCCGTCCCCCTCTGCATACTCCCCTTTATCAGGGAGGCTGTTTTCTTGAGTCTGCTGAGATAAACCAAGCCCTGAGTTTCAAGAATTCCAAAGACACAAGTCTTCCCCAACAGCAACGCTAGGCTTCCTTGGACCCCACTGTGAAGATGTTGACCACATGCCAGGCACGGTAGCACAA